CACACACACACACACGCACACACACGCACACACACACTTCATTTCTCCTCATATCGTCTCGTTCCCCTGCTGTGCTATGAGGCAGTTGACTAGGTGATGGGCAGAAGGTTGGTGTAGCAGCCCCTCCCTGCCTGCACCAGGCTCCCCAGGAACCTGCTGAGAAGTCAAGAGTCTAAATGACACGTTGAAATTAGGACGGAGAGATGAAAGACGAGGAGTCAAAGGCCGCCAAAGTGTACACGGTGTGACATTTCCAAACCCCCGGGGGAGATGGATAGGTGGCCCGACGCTGATATATCCTCCTCACCTCTCCTTAATTTATTGTGCCTTCTTGTGTGTGTGTTTTAACACCCTCTTCTCGCTCTTCCTTTGAACACCTAAAACAAGTCAATGTGCAGATTGTATTAATTATCTCCAGCACGAACTCACAGCACTTTTTCAGAGCATACTATTTAAAACTGATCTTAGTTACTCTGCAGAGATTGATCAAAGCTCCAATCAGGTAATTAAAGGTCACCGTCCGCCTCGATGTATGTTTATATCTGTTTATATCTGTGTTGTTTCATGTGTACACTGCAAATAGGCAAGTGACACAACACAGCAGCATCCAATAAGGCAGTGCTAAAGCAGCAGAAGTGCTTCAGGGGGCTGTGTCCCTGTAAAATCAATACATTTTTGTCATGACGATCAGATTTTGGTTAATCTGGTTCCAGGTTTGGTTAATTTTAAGATTCCAGGTGTTTTGCTAACAAGTCAGTTTGCTACATTTTAGCACATATACATATATACACACACACATACATACATATGTATGTATGGTCTACATATATCAACATATATGTATATAGTATATGTATATGTCTGTGACCCATGTTTTTGTTTTTTTTATTCTTTAGGGTGGGGGCTCATTTTAGCTGCAATGGAGATAGATCTAAGGAATTAATAATCCCCGTCTGTTTCTAAATTCAGTTCAGCCTGGTTCGGTGTTTGGTCCTTTATTTATGACTGCTGTTTGTGAGGTCAACTTTAACCAATGCTCAGCGTGCCCCCTGACCTTCTGCTGCAGGTAGAGCGAGCTGGTTAATTATCCCGCTGTGAGGCCCTAATAAGAGGGGCAGCGCAGCAGTCATCAGTTAAGCCCGGGACACGTCTCCGTGTCACACCACCTCACCCAGTCAGCCCAGGTGTTAGATTGGCTCGATGTAACACAACCCGACCAGTGATTAGCTCACATAAGCTAAGAGGCCCACAGGGGTGGTGGTGTCATAGAAAGAGAGTGTCAGATTGTCCTGTCCTTAAAGAAAAGAAAACACGAAAACACACACACAGGTCAGACCTCCTTCGTGGCGATAACTCAATCAGCTCCGTTGTGGGTGGTACTTGTTTATGTGTTGTCTTTTGGACAATAGATTTTTTGGTGAAGTAATAAAAACAGGTAAATGTGTCTCTGCTCTGTTCTGTGGTTTTTGTCCTCTGGTTGACCTTTGGTCTAACTGGTCATTATTAGTCTTCACCACTACACAGCACGGTCCATCCTCTCTACTCACAGTACTACTACGATGCTCACACATCAGAGCAGGAGTCATGATGACTAGTCTGTAATTGATTTAAAGACACGTTTGTCGCTCCCAAGTTAACTCTTCAAAGATGTCGTATTATACTTTCAAATGATGGTCAAAACAATGACCTACCTTCAGTCCTTTGTGCAAACAGTGTAAACAAATTTGAAACTCTGGTTGCTGTATATCTATGATCGTCAACGGGCGGCCCGTGGGCCAAATCCGGCCCACCGAATTGTCCAATCCGGTCCACAATGGGATTAAAAAATAAACATCAAATAATAATGCTAGATAAAAAGTGATTTTATTTCATTTCATGTGAAAAACAACAACACTGGAGTTAATCGAGAAAGAAAGCACACAGTGCCCCACAGGGACAGTTCAAACGTGGACAGTGTCTGTCTGTACAAAGGTCAATAAGTTGTTACATTTGGGTACATGTAAACAATTGTCTTTGTCTGTGTCAAGTTTTTTGATGCATGTACTAAATGACTTTTCTTTAGACCGTTAACATGACTCATGACAGAAGCCGTTTCTTATGTCACAGTTTGCTCAGCAACCCTTCACTGTGTTGTGTTTCTCCTGTCGTCCTCTCAGATCACACAGTTAGATCCTGGTTCAACTCTGCTGGAGGCCAAGCTGTTTCCACAGGAGACACTCTTCCTGGAGGCTAAAGAATAGGGACGTGGCCCTCCCATTAGCCAAGAAGACTCACTCACTCACTCACTCACTGACTGACTGACTGACTGATGACCTGGCTGGAAACACACACACACACACACACACACACACACACACACACACACACACACACACTGAGTAGTCACCCAGCATGACCCCTCATCTACTTTTAAACTGGGCCTGCAGTGAATAGACACACACACACACACACACACACACACACACACACACCTCATACATAAATACAGTGGCATGCACATCCAGTGACACACACACACACACACTCACAGTCATGTAAGCTTCTCTGCCCTTGGCCTGGTCACAAAACATGAACATCCTGTGTACATGTGTTTAAGTAGAGGAGCAAAGACGGATTCACTACAAGCACACAGCCAAGAAAAAAAAAAAAAGAAAGAAAACATCACCGTACAAAAACACACGTAATGACAGAAATACACACACAAAAAAATGTCCTAGCCACTGTTTCCTCTCGCAACACAAACTTGAGACGGAGTACAGAAACATTTTTGTCCAAATCAGAACAAGAACTTTTCTCTCCTGTCGTTTCCACATTCAACTCACCGAGGCTGCTTTTTTTAAATCATGGTTTTTGTGTTTGAAATAAAATTTAAAAAAAAAATATGAAAAATAAAATAAACTGCAAGGGATGTTGCCCTGCAGAAATCTGGGCTGTTTGATCTCCACCTGTATTTCTCCCCCTCTTTTATCTTCCTAACTCCTCTTCCCACACCCTTTCTCCCCTCCTTTTCCTCCTTCCACCCCTCCCGCTTGCTGTTTCTCTGCCAGGAATAGGATGTGAAGGGGTGCACACCCCGACGGCATCTGCTGCGCCACGACACTCTCAGCTCCCCACGGTTTTAACATCCACTGCTCCACAGGCCAACAGATTGCTCAGTTTTCAGTTTTTTCCCACATGATTCTTTTTATGTTTGATGCTGTATTAGCTTTAGTTTGATATACATTGTAAAAAAATATATAAATATGAACATTAATCTGTCTCAACAATCTGTTTAAATCAGACGCACTCACATGTGAGTCTTTACTACAGGTCCGTGGACCTGAGGGTGACAGGTTTTAAACTCATCATTTATTTATATCTCACTAATCCTCTGCAGTTTAAGGCCTTCTGATGGAATTGTGGTTCAGTTGTTTTTTGGTTGATATTGTTTCGTTGCTAAACTCGTTTGCTATTTAGTGTTAGCCATACATCGGTACTCTGACTGCTGTATGTTTATTGAAATAAAGCCGCATTCGGCACAAGTACAATGGAGGAGTCAACGTCATGTACTGTGCACTGCACATAAGCAGTACAACTGCAATACTGTGGTGAGCAGCAGAGTGGTGGGAAGTAATGAGCCGAGGAACACACTTTCAAAAAGCTAGTGCTCCTTTACTGGAAAATATATGGCTTGACTTGTATATTAATGATATGGACCTTCGTACTGTCTGCTCTGTACACACAGCTGACCTCTGAGTGTTTGGTTATTTTCATACTGGCTTGTTGTTTAAGTTGCGGCTTTATTTCAGTGACTTATGGCAGTCAGTGTAAAGTCGGAGTTATCACAGCTGATCGTCGGCACGTCACACCCTCTGTTGCCCTGGGCAAAACTTTTTCCTCTTTCTCTTCACAAATGACTCAGTGTGCTCACTCCCCCGCCACATGGTAACATCAGCCACGCTGCAGCTAATTTCCCCCTCTTCAGTGGGGAGATATCGCTGCAGCTTAGCCCTCCATCTGTCCTCTGTCAGCTAAAAGCAAAGTTTAAGAACCTCGGCAGGCAAAAAGTACCACCAACAACAGGAACTACTGACTGAAGTGACCCAGATACAGAGGATTTGATGGAGGGGGGACTCAGACAAGCTGCAGTCGTAGCAAAGCCACTGTTAAATGTCACAAAAGGGTTTCATTTTTCTCATCAGCAGATCATCAGCTGCTTCAGCTCTTCTTCTCTGGGTCTTCAGCTCTTCTTCTCTGGGTCTTCAGCTCTTCTTCTCTGGGTCTTCAGCTCTTCTTCTCTGGGTCTTCAGCTTCTGGGTCTTCATCTTCTTCTCTGGGTCTTCAGCTCTTCTTCTCTGGGTCTTCAGCTCTTCTTCTCTGGGTCTTCAGCTCGTCGTCTGTGGAATAACGTTACTGCTGTCTATTTCCAGAACTCAAATGAAAGGGTTTTAGGTGACGTTAAATGTCCCAAACTGGTCACTACATTTGTTTTATTTTCCTATTTATGTTCTCAGTGATTGATTTGATCAACTTCCTTATTCATTATTAATAATTATAATAATTCACTCCCAGTTTAATGATCATCACAAAAACCTTATTATCCTGATGGTCATTTAATGGTAGTTGGTGTCCAGTGATGTTTCCAATAAATTGGGTTGAATTTAAACATGTAATTCAATACTGAACAGTGTAGTTTAGACAATAACAAAAAAAAGTAAAATTTCTCCAGAGGGCTCCAATTATCTGTGGGTTGATTTTGATCAGTTATAACTAGTTTGGAAAGAAAGTGTGTTTTGGTCCAATTTTAAAATGCAGTCCTTGGCTCAGTTCCTGTGGGACAGAACAGACGGTTATCTCCACAATCTCCTGTTTATTAAAGAACGGAAACTTAAATGTCACCTAAATTCATCAGTCTGGAAATGTCAGTTACATTTGTGCACATGTGAGGGAGTTGCACAAGCATTCTCAGGTGTGTGTGTGTGAGTGTGTGTGGGAGTGTGAGTCAGTGAGAGTGATTTTCTCACGGCAGGAGTGAGGGACCTGATGTGCTCAGTCATCTGGACTTCCCCAGGTTTGACCAGACAGGAGATGTTGCTGAAGGCGCAGTGTGAGTGTGTGAGAAAGAAACATTTCATGACACGTCGTATGTGCAGCCGTCTGTCTCTTCTTAGGAAAAATGAATGTGACATCCACTGTTCAACCGTCGAGCCTAATGTGAGCAGTTGAGAAGAAAAACAAAAAAATACTGTTTTTATTTTTTAATATCTCATTTACTTTTGCAGCTGGGACTTTTTCCAAACTCTACGTCGACACATTCTCAGCTTTTGCTTCTCTGAACTTTGAAACGCTGTAGCTCCTAATCTGAACAAATTAAATTAGAAATCATTTAAAGAAAACATCCAAATGTAAATGTATTGCTGTGCCCTTTCTGTACAAGTTCTCTGCCCTCTTGGCGGGGGGCGCCCCCCATTTTGGGGGCTAGTGTTTTAAGGCAATTTGCAGTGGAAGTAGGGTTTAGTTGTGACCTCAACTATAAAAAACAACAGACAAAATAAAACATTCATTGCTGTGGCAACAAAATACTGAACTGCATACACCTGGTGTACTTCATGTTACAGGTATTAAGGTACATATTATGGTAAGTTTGTCGAGTTTCATTAAGTTGTAAAGATTACAGACTCTTGTTAATTTAGATTCCTCACCTCATCAGTTTGTTTCTTGTAGGCCAATTTACAAACATGGTGATCCAACATGGCCGCCTGTGTGGGGAAGATCCGCTCCTGAAACTATGGTTGTGACAAATTCAGCAGTTCATCCTCACAGGTGGGTCTACTGTCATCACCAAGGACGTCTTTGTATTATTTATATAACTATAGAGTCAGAATATTAATACTACATGACTGTAAATCAGAGATGTGTGACTTTCCCAGCAGCTGTACATGTAGTCAGTGTGGTCAGAGGTTATTGAACAGCTCAGTGTGACACACGTCACTGTGCTGCTGCTGCTGCTGCTGCTGCTGCTGCTGCTCCAGGCATGAGAGAGGAGAGGGTGAGGCCAGGAGCTCAGTGAGCGTAAAAAACAAACGGGTGTGTCTTCACGCAGACACAGACAGGTGCACCTCTGCCTGTCTGTCAGAGTCAGAGTCTGCTTCTTGCATGTAGACACACACACACACACACACACACACAGCTTCTGTCATGTGTGAAATGACTGTTTCTATCACACACACAGCTCGTGGACATGAATGTGCACAGGCAGCCAGGTTGTTTTGCTCCTCTGCAGGTACAGATGGTGACGGGGCTTTTGTTTTGTCGTAAACCTGAACAAACTCTCTTTAAATTGATTTTCATCAGTTATTGAGGCTGAGATTGAAAAGGAACAGTATAAAATAAAAGACTAGAATGACCAGGAGTCAGAGACAGATTTAATGATCGCTGATAATTAATAATAATACATTTTGTCAAAGAGACTCCAGAAAGGGACACATTGGCATGTAAACCAGCTCAGAATTGTTGGGCCATAAATCCCCAAACATTTCCTGCAACCCTACCGCCCCCTTTTGTAGAGAGGATTATTGCCCCCCCACCCCCAACCCAGGGTCAACTCTTTCACAGATACTGCTTCTGAACATTCTTTTAAACAACACAAGCTAACGTTCTCACTGGACAAAAATAATCAGTGCAATTTCCTGTTATAAAATCAATTAATTGTTGAAATAAAAAGTTCTTTGCCATTTTGACACCACCCCTGCATTACCTTTGTGCCCACTGGGGGGCCCGCCCCACACTTTGGATAGGTCTTTATTTTTTACTTGCATTAAGCCATAGAACTAACTAAGCTGCTAACATTTAACTGGAGAGAAACTGTGGGCGTTCTGCTGGAATCTGTTTGACTTTATGTAGATGTTACATCGACTGAAGTTTATCAGCATTATTTTATTATTATATTTGTAGTTTTTTAAGGAGGACGTTCAAAGATGTTAGTTTAAAGTCTTTGCCTTTTTTATTTCAAATATAATGGGTGACTAAGTATTTGAAGTGTGAGTGTCACATAAGTCGACCTGTAATAGAAAGAATTGAGTTGTTGACTTCACTCTCCTCCGTTAAATCAGCCGTTCTTTGACGTGTGAGTCAAACTTTGGTTCGATGTCTTAATCAGTGTCAGCAGCCGTTAGACGTGACACATGTGTGTGTGTGGGGGGGGTGTGAAGGTGTCTTGTGTGGTAATGAGCTTTACTCCTCCAGCTTCCAGGGACACAGATTCAGCGGTAGCAACATCAGGTTTCTGTCCTGATTCTCTCCAGGACAAAGGAAGGAAAAGCGTCGGTGATGTTTAAGCAGCTCCTCAGGGGTCAAGAATGCAGCCCACTGCTGAGGGAACAAAATTCCTGATACAAGTCAGCTCTCCTCCCTCCTTTTGAAGTGGGAGCCGCTCAAATCTCAGGGCACAGCAGCTCCCCAGAATCACAGGATCTCCACTTGTGTCCCAGACTGGCATAACCCTGAAGGGTCAGCCCCCAGTTTACTTTCTCAGACGAAGGCCCGGCCCAAAGAAACAGAATCTGTGCAGCTTAAACTGTTGGATGAGCACAAAAGGAGGGTCACCTCTCCCTCTCTGTGTCTCTGAGTGTTCACACCACTGTTTGTTAATCACACAATGGACTCAAAGGGTCCTCGATTTTAGTGGTGGACGAGAGAAGGACATTCTGTCTGTAGCCATGTTCATAATCCAATAAAATATGCCTTTAAATTCTTTAACGGCTAAATGTGTTGGTCTGGAACTTTTTAGTTCTTTATATCGTCTCTGGGGAGAGTTCTTCAGGAAACAAATGAAACACCAATTAGGTTGGCGCTGCTCTTCAAAGCCAAAAACACAAAAGTCTAATTTAGACTCATTCGCAAATAATACGTGTGAAAGAATTTAATTTATTTTCCCTGTTTGTGTTGATTTCTGTGGTGGTTTCCTGTAACATCAAGGTGTTCCTCACAAACACAGATATTGTTGATAAATAATGATAAAAATAGACAGATTTCTGAAGGACTGGAAGATGCTGAAAATGTAAAGATTTATCAGATTAGTTTAAGGGAAATGTTGAATCCAGATGTGAAATGACAACAGAATATTTGTTGTATTGAAACTCTTACAGTGCAGTTACCAAACACAGTAAACCCTCCTGCATTTCTGACACAAATATCTGTTTTTACCTTACAGACTCAGCTGTCACACAGTTTCCACCGTCGGCCTGTACTCAAAGAGACTCTTCTGACATCACAAGACGTTTTACATGGAGTTCGACTGCCAATGGTGAGAGATCAAAATTCTGTTCTTTATTTTTTCAGTTTTCTTTGCATAAAGAACAAATTAAAATCTCCTGAAGTTCATGGAATACTTGGTCCATCATCCAGCCGTTTCCAGCAGTGACAGAGCCTCTAGTTAATGTTCATTTTACACCAAATATAAACTTTCCACCAGGGAACCTGCTAACTGAAGAGCATAGGTTGAGCTTTTGACCTGACTTTATTTAAGGGTGCATCACAGGCAGATTACATTTATTAAAATACTTATGTCTAACAGATTTCGATCAGCTAGGTTTGTCATTCAAAACATATTTTTCTGTTCTTTGTCCCTTTGCTTTTTCAACAAATGGTCAATAATTAATAATAGGTTGTAGGTAAAAAAACAACAGATTTTTCCTTTCCCTTAAAAATTATTTTTCATATTTTTGAATTAGAAAATGACGTTTGTTTTTTGCAAATTGTTTGTCCCTTTTAAAAGATTTTATATTAAGGTAATTCAATTCAAACAAAATATTTGTTTATTATGAATTTTCCTATCTCTACTGCTTCAATTTATTATTTGGAATATTAATAATTCTGACTCATTCGACACAAGGTTAATTTACTTTATATTTATGATGAACTGTATATCTGACATATTTATTTAACTGATAAATGTCATTGGAGGAAACGGCTCATTTCACTTTACAAAATTACATAAAAAACCACTTTATTATTTGATTCTGATGTCACACCAAAGAGTCCGTTAAAATATTAACTCAGACATAACATTTCACTTTACAAAATTACATTAAAAAACACTTATTTGATTCTGATGTCACACCAAAGAACACATCCACACCGGAAAATGTCCCTTTTTCTAGTAATACATTTAAAATATATTGTAAAAGTCAAAATAGAGCCTTATAAAACATCCACACCGGAAAATGTCCCTTTTTTAAATATTTTGTGTATAAGAATATGTCTCTGCTCCATCAGTGAGTTCTTTCTGGAGCCGTTCCTTCAGACACAGAGGCCTTGTATTAAAAAGCTGTGGTATTCGGATTATCAACGGCATGGAATAAAGCAATAAATGGACCAGTGGGCTGCTGAATGGGTGCAGTGGTGTGGAGGGGAGTAATTACAGCTTCATATTAATTGTTTTTCTTTTTTTAAACACACACACACACACAGAGGAGCAGCAGCAGCAGTGCTCACATCCAAGTCTTTGTGCGGAACACTTCAAGTTTCAAAAACAAGGCCAATTGAAGCGGCGCAGCTCAAAGCCGGCACCATTGTCGACCAACACATTGAGTTTTGATTGGGGACAATGGTGTTTCTCAAATTTCGAGCAAAGAGAAAGCCATACTCCATCTGTGATCTCAATGAGCGGCTATTCATCAGCTTCCTTCTTTTCTGTGCCTTTGCTTGGTGCAGAAAAAAGGAGGCAGATGTGGAGGGAGAGAGAGCAGGGGAGAGTGTATTTTAATTGGCTCTCTCTCTCTCTCCACTCTGTCCGTCTGACAGACTCACACACACACACACACACACACGCAGCGGAGTTATATTGAACCCTGCAGAAGGAAGCCCAGTAATCTGGCAGTGTTGATGAATACTTGTAGCCCATTCATTAAAGAAAGATAATCCCTGCTAAACTAGCCTGAGGGCCTACAACGGCAGGGACGGAGTCAGAGAGGAGGGCAGAGTTATTTCAAGGCTCTCTTCAAATGTTTTTTTTTTTTAATAAAATATTCATATGTCTGCTAGGATTATCCTTCATCTTTAGATAAGTGTCCTTCTAGTAGCTGAGAGGTCAAGTCTTTTCAGCCAGAGGTCAGTGCTAATCTTTGAGCAGCGTCCAGATTATCCTTTGTCATTTATTGAAATTATTTTTATTTTTTCTGTATTTAGTCACCATTGTAGCTTACATATTTCAACTCTTATATTTGTTATTTGATCATCTGTACAGATGTTTTGTTTCATCACAAACCTGATGACATTTGGTGTCATTGGCAGAGGACACTTGACGTCTGTTACTGTGTGGAGAAGATTTGTCAGTGACAGAATTTTCAATTTACCTTTTTTTTTTGCCTAAAAACAACGTTGCGTACTCCTTTGTAGTAAGACTGCAGTTTTTGGGGCAAATATCTCAAAGTATTTCTGCTTCATCTTCACTGATGAACCTCTCATCCTCATCCAGTTTTAAAGCCCACTCTTACAAGATTCCCTGTTCTTTCCTACAGATTCCCTCATCTTAACCCTTACACAGAGCTGCCGTCAACCATACACTTATGCGGTAGGCACTACGACGGAGGGGGCGCTGTTGTAAGCCCTTAAAAAATAGTACTGTAATCAATAAAATAAATTATATTCAAAATTTGCACTGATTACATTTGTCTTGTCCAAATATAAGGCAAATATTTTCTATCACAGGGACTAACTTTATATTTCATTCTATTGTTATATGATTTTGTACTATTTTCAATTGTTTAAACAGAGAACCAGTTGATTGTTTTTATAGTAGAAACAGTCAGGACTTCTAAATATAAATTGTTGCACAAAACCTAAACCTGGTTATATTTGTAACATTTCATGTTTTAATTGTTTATTTTTGGTGTAACCTTGCCGCGTCATTGTTTCCCACTGTACAGACATCAATCACAGACAATAACAACTCTTCAGTCGCCACTGACTTCCGGTTTGGATTGGACTATGGCTTTAATTAACTGTCTGGTTTAGAGGTTTTCTCTGAAGGAGAAGTCAAAGTTTTCTCGGTCTGAAATGTCTTCAAAATATTTTTTAAACTATTCCTTACTCTTGTCACGTTAACTTTTCTTTATGGATTTCTACCGTTCAGTGAACCTCAGCAATTATTTTTGTCTAAAAGTCCAACATTCTTATTATAAGCATTTCTTATTTAAAATTATCGCTACACAAAAGCTTTACTTTTAAACTGTGTTCTCATATTAGGAGAAAAACTGAAAGATAAATCCAAGAGTTTTTAACTTTCGACTTAATTTCTTTATTGTTAATATTTATTTAACGTATAAATTAAATAAGCCTTCTAAATTAGAATTAAGAAATGTTGATTTAACGAAGAAAAACATAAATAATTTAGAAATCAGAAATAATTTAAAATGTTGTCCGAAACTCTTCGTATTTAGCAAACTGTATTTTTTTTTTTTTTTGCAGCGTTTGTCGGTCGTTTTGTCTGTCTCTGAACACCTTGCTAAAATAAAAGGTTAAATTGGGATATGGGAATGTTGACTAAATGCATTCTGGGATTTTTGTTGGTTTCCCACTGGCTCCTTTTCCAAATTGTGCCAATGATGCTGCAGTTTTCCGCCGCCAAAAATGCTTATTTAACACGTCTTCATTTCAGATTGCACATGCACGCGCAGCCTTTGTGCGTGGCCGTGTGTAAGAGCAGGTTATAAACCTGGCCAGCAGGGGGTCTCATGTGGGTCCGACCCTCTCTGCTGCTCTGACTCTGCCTTTAAAGGAATGCATTCAGCCCTGATTCCTTCCCCCGGTCGGCCCACGGAGCTGCTGGTGTGAAGTGGCAGGTTAACAGCCTCTTGTCTCTGGGCCCGGGCCTGCTCGGTGTGTGCTCGTCAGGCGTGTAAATAGTTGAGTGCCCCCTCCTCCCTCCTGCCCCGTCCACCCCCCCACTCCCCCTCACCCCTCTCAGGTCTCCTTTCTCCCTGGCCCCTTGTCTAACTGCTACTCTAACCTCTGCCTCTGTGTGATGAGCCGGCTGCTGCGGCGGGAGAGCGCGGGAGGGGAGCCGGGGCCAGGCGGGCTGCAGGCGGGGCAGCGACGGCAGGAGAGGCCGCTAGAAAGCCGCACCGGGGGTGCAGGGCCAGCGGAAACATGCTGCTACATATGTTGGGTCAAGCATGGCCTTTGTTGTCATCTTAAAAGGGTGTTAAAACCCCACTCGTCTGTAGCCTTTATGAAAGAAATGAAAGCATGGCGTAGTTTTTTGATGCATGGGCCTAATGAAGTGGTTAAAAGAATGTCGGGTTTTCTAAGTGCCCACAGTCACTGTTAATTGCACGCGGGACATTTTTTAATTGGAGCAGCAGGGATAATAAACTATATAACACCCGAAAATTAAAAAAAAGCTTTAAAAACCGCAGTTCAATATTAAATGTGGTGTTTTGACGATGGATAAATATCATAGTAAATAAACACGGCTCAGTGGAATAAATTATAATTAGTTAAAAAAAGTTTTAATTTGTTTTAATCGTAATTCTTTAAGCCTAGACCGGAAGTTAGGGTCTCGTCAAATAGATTTATTTGATTTGATCCGTGTGTGATTTGAGTTTTTCATTATGATGTAAACTCTGTTCGTTACCATTGTAGATAAAACACTGATTCTAACTGGCTGTGTGAAAACACACCTGCCCGCTCACCTGTGCTGCTGCAGTCAGTTGTAATTCACATTAAATATTCCTTGGTTTTATTCTAATTCTTTTTTTTTTTTAACTCGGTCGAAGCATGTCCCACAGGAACATTAATGAGTGGAGACCAGCCGTTAAATTAACAATGAATTAATGATGTCCCTCGATTGTTCCACACTGACCAACCCTACCGTGCTCTTCAAGGGGTTTTTGAGAAACAACAATTTCTCATCCTTTAAATAGAACAATTTGTATTTTCTCAAAATATTTTCCACAGATAAGAATACACGTCAATGTCAGAAAAAAAAAGAAACAAGAGAAAACACAAACGGAGGGCAGTGTCCGTGCAGAGGAAAGCACCACCTGAAATATATTATATCATTTTTTCCTGTTTGGTTTATTCTTACCTTTCCTATGCCTTCTTTTCCTCCGAAGAACACGGTATGAAATTAAACATATTCAGGTTCTAATATATTATTTGATACTTCCTACCTTCTAAGCCTGACAGACGACACCGTGGGCCACCGGCTCCTCCGTCGTGCGCCTGTGCAGTTTGTGACTGTCCTCTTACCAAAGCAGGAAGGCAGGGCAGTTTTCAGCCGTGATGCAGATAATTACTTTGAATGTCAAAAAGATGTAGTTTTAATATCATCTCTATTAGCCTGTTGGCTGGGTAATTAAGGTGCAGATGACAGCGGCGAGGGAAACAGATGGCATTTGCTTACAGTGATTCAGAAAGTAAACAATGAGCCTAGGAGGCAGAGGAGAGAGGAGAGCTGCACCAGCACGGAGCAGAAACTAGCAGAGGAGAGAGGAGAGAGAAGAGCTGCACCAGCACGGAGCAGAAACTGCTCCTCCATCACTGGTCGTAGAGTCTGTGTTGGTTTTACCTTCAGGGAGTTAAACTCTAGGTGTGGACTGGTAATTGTTGGTTTACAAACCTTTTTTTATCATTATTATCTTGGGATCAAATGTCTGAACGGTAGTTTTAGTTTTGCTGTTGTACAAACAGGTGATGAAGGAGCAGGTGTTTCCGGCCGCGCTGTGCCTTCGTGGGTCCGTATGCGTTTGTGTGACTCATTTAAATAACACCAAGAGCCATTTATATAAACAAAAGCACATTCCCTCCTTTCTAGTATGTTGCTGGTAGAAATAACAGAACACACGTCTGTCTCTCTGTCTGACACACTAATGTACTGCTCATAATTTAGAAATAATTGTTGTTGTTTTTCTTTTTAAGGGAAACAATATTTAATGTTTTTTTCGATCTAGTTAATTACTGAAAAATATAGTTAGATTAATAAAATTAATTAATTTTGATTATTTCGATTTAGTAAAACAAATAATTCAATAAAAAATTGAAACATTATTATTATTATCATCGCGTAATCTCTGTTCACTGAGTATTTTCATCAGCATAGCATTCAAATTTAATGTTACTTATTATGTTCCGTCATACACACCTACAGTCTGCTGACAACACTGGTTCGGATTTTACAAATGTTAATAATGCTATTAATAAACACTGGTTCGGATGTTACAAATGTTAATAATGCTATTAATAATTATAACGTCGGGCTTAAACGTTTAATAATTCAATACATAATTCAAAATCGTTATTAACTTAAAAATTGTTTTTCTTAAAAATATATATTTTATTTTGAAATTTTTACATATATAACTCTTGCCTAACATGTAACCTAAATAGAATAGACTTTTTCAGGTCAAGAATTTTTGTTTCAATCCAATTATAATTTACAGAAAAAAAGAAGTAAATTTTGGTTTTTAATCCACGAATTTAAACGAGGAACGACACAGGATGGTTGATACATTTATTCCCACGTCTAAACTCTTATTTTAATTTGATTTCAAAAATGATTTTTTTATGTACAAGAACAAGCCTGATAAAACACCACAATTTAATTACAAAATAATTCAAAATATAATATAACAAAGTGAAATAATGATAAACAGGATTAGCTTCAAATGTGCGCGTCGACTTTTCCTTTAAATCACGAAGATTTCATTTAATCACCAATTTCTTCTGCAGTAGAAATCGCGATCTTTCTCACACAGAGTAAAATAAACCAGGTTTTAACGAATGAAATAAACGTTGGAAAAACTTACCTTCCAGCAGGACGACATCGAACGCATCACGCCGCAGTAGTTAGAAAAAAAAGTAATTAGTGCCATAGGTTCATGTAAACGATCACATGATATGAGGACATATTTTATAGAGAGTAAATGAGATGAATCCGACACATCTCCTGTAATTTAGGGCTAATTTGTTTGGCAACACGCCAGTCTTTTTTAGTAATAAAACTGCAGTCACCAGTAGAACACGGACTCCTGTTGGAAAACCTACACAAATTCTTTCTTTCTTTTCTGTTTTTTCTTTTCTTTTTTCTTTTTCTTTCTTTTTTTTTTTAAATTCACTGCATCGATTTGAGCTTTCCGGGAACTCCCGTCAGATTCTTAACACTTGATAGTTGGAGAAAGAAGTCAGGTAGACACAGTTGACAAAAAAGAGGCAAGCCAATCAGATCGCTCCTTCCTCCTTTGGCCAATGACAGACGCCACATTGTTGTCAAATTTGTCTAATGAAAACGTAGGCGCAACAATAGAGAGGGGGAGAGAGAGAGCGGTGTATCCACTGACCATCTCAGGAGGAAGTTAGTGTCTCAGGCTGCGCTCAGTAACAACCTCAGCTCCTCCTGGACACTTTTCTCCTCATCCGGGGGAGGAACGCTCGCTCCTCTCTGCTCCGACTCCGACTGGATTTAATCTCCACTGTATCCACTCCTGTGTTTGCGTCGCCCTCGGACTCTTTCCGTCAGAGTTTCGATTGCAGCTTTTTTGGTCTTCGACGAGCTCTGACTTCACCTGTTGCCCAGAGATGTGGAGCTGAGCAGATGTGACCAGCTCACCTTCTGACTGACCAACATCACCCACAGCAACGTTTCTTTTTCTCCTGTAAACTTTAGTCCTTCTCATATCAGCGAGGATCACGGGCATGGATCTGAGACCGGAGCTCCCCTCAGTCTCTTCTGCCTCTCAGGTTCACCCAGGAGCGGCCCCCGCTGCGGCGCCGCCGGGGACACGCCGTCCACGGCCACTAGCGCACACTGCCCCCCGCGGGTGCGCCCGCGGCGGCAGCCTCCATCCCGGTGTCCATGGCCAGCAACCTGCTGCGCGGCCCTCCGCTGCTTTTGCGCGCCACAGACAAATACCCGAGAACGCCCAAGTGCGCCCGCTGCAGGAACCACGGCGTCGTCTCCGCCCTGAAAGGACACAAGCGCTACTGCCGCTGGAAGGACTGCATGTGCGCCAAGTGCACCCTGATCGCCGAGAGGCAGCGGGTGATGGCGGCACAGGTGGCGCTGCGGAGACAACAGGCGCAGGAAGAGAACGAAGCCCGGGAGCTGCAGCTGCTCTACGGCACCGCCGAGGGACTGGCCCTGGCCGCGGCCAACGGCATCATCCCTCCGCGACCCAATTACGAGGTGTATGGATCCGCCAGCAGTGAGAGCAACTCAGGTAAGCAGGGACGGATGAACACACTGGAGGATGTTTGTTAAAGTGTCAGACCGTGTCTACGTCACAGAGGTTTAAACGTTAAAACACTCCATATGTTATAACACGTGATAAACAGTTAGCGTCTTTAACGGTCGACAAACGTGTTTTTAAATGCGTGTATAGTTCAAGGACTCGTTGTATTATTACCATTTGTATTGGACATTTTTTGTTGTTATTACTTTTTTAATAATAGTTAAAAACTTTGACATTTCTGACCCTGTCCACAGACTCAAGTATCCAGAAGTACGATCTGTTTCCGAAGAGCCAGCTCTCCGGCTCTGCCTCCCAACAGTCTGTGGGGAAACCAGCGTCCACCGAGAGCGACTCAGCCCCGGGCATCTCCTCTCCTGACGCCCGGCACGGAGGCTCAGGCTCGGAAAATGGAGACAGTGAGTCTTTCATCAACTCCCCGGTGTCCAAGCCTTTAAAAGACGGCGGGGACACCCCCGGGTCCGTTAGCTCCCTCGGCTCTGACTCCGGATCTGAGACCGACAAAGACGAGCAGGAGCCCTCCCCGGCGTCCGCGGCCTCCCGGCACATGAACGCCATCGACATCCTGACCCGGGTGTTCCCCAGCCACAAGCGCAGCGTCCTGGAGCTGGTCCTGCAGGGCTGCGGTAAGGACGTCGTGCAGGCCATTGAGCAGATCCTCAACAACGGCGACGGCCACGGATCCAACAAGCCCGGGCCGGAGGAGACGTGGACGGCGGAGAGGATGCTCCAAAATGCGCAGCTGCAGCAGCAGCAGACGCCGCCGTCCTCCACGTCCACAGCCAACCCGACGAGGCCCATGTTACCCGGGGCCATGACGCTAAGTAACCGGTCGGCGTTTTCACCTCTCCAGCCGAACTCCCCGCACTTCGGTGCCGACCCGAGCACTTATCCTCTGGGAACGCACCTCGGACTGAACCCGCTGCGCCTGGCCTACTCTGCGCACAGCCGGGGACTGGCCTTCATGACGCCCTACTCCACCACCGGGCTGATGCCCACCCTGGGCTTCAGACCCCCCATGGACTACGCCTTTAGCGACCTGATAAGGGACAGGACACTGTTACACAAAGAGCAGGGCTATGCGAGCGGCCTGTACGGGCCTCTGGTCAACAACACGCCGGACAAACAGTGAGGCTGCTGGACTGACCGCAGAGACACGGACGCGTCCGTTGTATTTGTAACAACAGGTGTTGAATGTTCTGGACAATATCATGTATTGTGTGTCTACAGGTATATACTGTACATTATAGAATTATCTGACCTGTAGTGGAGTGCTGTAAGAACGGGGGGGATGGGGGGGGGGGGTTCACTGATCAGTAAAATGACAGAATCAGTTAATGTTAGACTTACAACAGCTTAGACCACATTCCTCAGTCATATGTATCGTATTTTGCCGCCTATAAAATATCATAAAACTTAATATTTATAAATTCATGAATAAATCACGGCCGAACTATAGGGGAAAATGTTGATAAAGTCAGTAAACATGTTAAATCAGCAACATTTAATTTTCTTTTTAAACTTGGGTTAAAATAAAAAATATAAAAATATCGAGAGACATTTTAAAGCTTTTCCTAAATGTATTACACTTTTAAATATCACATTTTATATACATTCCCCACGAGGCTGAAATAAGAATATTAAGTTATTAAAACGCGTAGTTTGCGGTTGTTAACCCTGCTGTAAAAGTTGAACTCACGTTTTGTAAATGTCATAAACTTTTCCTTTTCCTTCTTATGTATTATTATTATTATTGTTTAATTTTCTCACATTGCTTTGTAGCTCTTTTCCTTCTGCCTGTGTTCGATGTTTGGTGATGCTGAGATGCTGAAATGCGCTTTTCGACTTTTCTTCAAGTGCAAGTCAGTTCCTCTTCACATGTTACTGTGCTGTCACATTGTATGAATATGCTGGAAAATAAATGTTATTTTAAAGAAAACTCACCCATTTTAACTGTCTTTATTAAGGGTTAGGCGATGGATGAAACTATTCCAGGAATCTTATAACAGATAAATAATAATAATAATTTAGATGAGACACAGCCGATTAGACGTGATCCGATTGTATTGGTGAAACAATATTTCATAAAGTTTCTTTTTTTTTCAAGTGCCAAAATTGAATGGAACATTTATGTCCTTCAAAAACAAAGGTCCAGAATTTTTAGTTATTTATTTTCTTTAAAAAAATCGAATATAAAATATTTATCTTATATATATGAACCAGGCCACGCTGACTGTGACGTAAAAGTGTGAATGGGAAACACACTATTAGATCTGGTTGTTTTCACCTCCAGAACACACACTAAGCGGCCTTGGCACAGCCCTGTCTGTCATGACATGTTGTCATCAGATTATCTTGATGTCTTTGTCAGTTTAGATCTGCTAATAAAGGAGAAATGAGTTCCAGATATCTGTCCATCCATCCAAATACCAGCAGAAAAGGAAAAAAAACCCAAGCGTTATAATCCATACACTTTGACTGCGGTCTTTTATATCCAGATAAGAAAATTAGTGTATAAAAATCAAATCAAACAATGTGTTTACGTAAAAGTAAAATACGTGCCGATGTTTAGTATGTATAAATAAATAAATAAATGAATGAACAGTATTTGCTGCTGATGCTCCCAGTATTCAGAACATTTGCTGCTGTCAAAGCACAATGGTTTTCCTAAATGACACGGCTGCCATCTGCCGGCCAGTTTATGTCAGTACATTTTATTTACTCTAACGCCAATGTAACTCCGTGTTTTAGTAATTCCTTCATCATAATTTATAGCTCTATTTGTTTTCAGGTGGACTTTGGTTAACTGTTCACTCTAAATCAACCTTGGTGTGAATCTATCTGTTCTTCTATTGCAGCAGCCAGTGACCAGTGACCTGACCAGGGTGACCACCATGACTGATGTCTTCTGGCTGTGAGTCTGTCTCATCACGTGACTCGACACAAACATGACTCTTAGTAGTTTGAATTAATGAACAGCACCTTTATGTGTCAATGTAAGGCACTTGTTTATAATGTTGTTGTTGTTACTCTTGTGTTGTCTGAAGAACTGAACTGAAGCTGCTGTTTACAAAACCCAGAATGCCATATTTTATATTCCCATCCATCCATCCATCCATCCATCCATCCATCAACCAACACTTTTTTTTATAGTTTAGGTTATTAGTTCACCAACAATGATTTTATTCTTTTGAAGGACGTGTGTGGCAAAGACAGCACCACTAGATGGTAGGCCTGTCTAACAAATACATCTACTACCTACAACGCTGCCAAAACCCACCAAACAAAACAAAAAACATCCCCCTTCCATCGCCCCCTTCAAAAGCCGTTCCAATTCTGTCCAATAGAGGATCTATGTTAATTAAGGAGAATTAAGTCAGGTTTTTTTTGTAAAATTCTTAAAATAAACCATACATCTTCAAAGATTGCACTACTATTTAATGTTTTTTTAAACCACGCATTATCAACAACTCATCACCTGTTGAACATTCTTAAGATGAAGCAATAATGCATTTTAAATGGCAGTGCACAACATCCATATTATCTTTTATTTTCTTTCGTGTAGTGTCCTCTGCTGGCGACTTGCAGGAAATGCAAACTATAGCGTCGCGGCAGCAGCACTGCCAATGTTTCTGCACAAAGCAACGGCAGCAGCCAATCAGTGAAACAAAACAATGGACCTGAAGTGTTTGGCCTCGGTGAAAGACAAACGACGGAAATGTGTGAAGGAGGAGACCGTAGAGATGAGGCTGCTCCGGTAAATCTGTTGTTCATCTGTGTTCACTAATGAATAATTAGACAGAGGCAAATAAATGGCCGGGGGCCAAAGGAGAGAGAGAGAGCGAGCGAGAGAGAAAGAGAATTTCATTTAGGTTATTACCTCACAATACATGGAACCCATTTTCATTTTGGTGGCTGTGGTCTGTTAGATAACAGGTAGATAACATCACTGGGCTGAGTTCAGTCTCACAGCTCAGTGAAGCCACAGTACAAACAAATCTACACACCAATACTACACTTCACTAATACAGTACACATTTTTACTGTGCTTGAATCAATGGGTCTATTGATATGATGAAGAGACCATTTAAATTCCTCCAGTTGACCCAGTGCTCATCAGTCAGTCTGGGTTTATTTGACACGGTTAGAGAAAGAAAAGGCTGATCCGTGAAGGGTAAAGGCGAGGGTGTGTGTGTGTGTGTGTGTGTGTGTGTGTGTATGTGTGTGTGTGAGGGATGGTGCTCCCTGTTGGTGTGTTTGCCAGAGTGATGAAGGGACCCATCGAAGGACAGATGAGAATGAGATTCTTGAATCAATACCAACCAAGGGTGTTTGGTTATTAACGTACACAGGGAGCAGCCGATGTTCAATACTCCTCACCTGACTGATCAGACACAAGCACCCCCCCATCCCGGACCCCCTCCCCTCCTGCTTTTATCTCTTCCTTTGCACTCACCATTCAGAGTGTGACTTCTTTCACTCTTTTTTCTGCAGTATTTGCCGTTCATACAGGAAGCTCCCAGTGAAGTAAAACTGTACTGCATGTTTAAAACAATATGTAACACAACTTTTATATATTGTATACGTGTCATACAGTCAACATACATATTGTACACTACTGTTATACACTACATATAGAACTACAGTATATGGTACATTTAAAACTATATGATTATGAATGAATATGAATGAAAACAATAACGTATTTGCATTAGTATACAGTATGTATAAAATCATAACATTTCTACAAGTAGTAACTTTTAAGCCAAACATCAAGTAAATAAATCAATAAATTAATTAAAACAAGTCTGAGTTAGGAACTGAAATAACAGTGATTTTTTGTGTGTGTGTTTTGCAGACAAACTATTCTAAAGAAATAACGATCACTGTGTTTGGGACATTTCTGTTCCACGACCTGACGACGATCGTTGTTTAATCTCCAGGGGTCTTTTTTCTGTCCAGGGTCAAGGTGGGAGCTGGAATCGATCCCTGCCGTCAGGGGTCACGACCTGGACGGTTCATGACAAGGTGGTGGGACACGGTATGAGAGAACCAGTCAGACTATAATTTCATCATACACATCAAAACCGGTGACAGTCTGAGCTTCCTGAGCTTTTGGAAGTAAAATGCCACAGTGTGTGTGTGAGTGTGTGAGTGTGTGGGTGTGTGTGTTACAGGGGTAGATTTTATGAAGATATTTGCCCCAGCTCCCCCCTGGATTTTGCCCTTGCTACACTGTGGTGAATCTCCTCTTCTATCTGTGCAGTCTGTCTGTCACTTAATTAGTTTCACCTGGTGCCACCTGGTGTTCATCAGTCTGACTGGCCTCACCTGGTGTCCTGGGTTTGAACACCCCTCTCCTCTCCTTCACCCACTCTTTGTTCTCTTTGACTACAGTTCTCCTGTTCTTATCTCCTGTGTTCCTGCCTGGTCCTTGGTCTCGGTGAGTTCACTAAACTCTTTCCTGTTCTCTCCTCTATGTCATCATCTCCTTCCTGTTTCCCTCTCCCTCTGCTGCATAACACTGTCCAGGTTGATGGATGTCCAGAGTGCTGACATCAGCAGCCACTGATCCTCTGCTAACTGAATCAGGTCACTGGCTCTCAGTGGAACCTGTTGGTCATATGGTGTTACATACAGCTTTATTTTGCACAAATTAAAAAAATAGGAAATAAATTCATATTACTAACCAGGAAACTTAAATTCACTTAATTGTTTTTTAAATTCTTTCTTATAGATCCTAATCTCAACTCTCAGGATATTAAATTATGATAGTCTAGTGTTGAAAGTCATCGTATGATGTGACTTACACAAAGAAATGTTATGAGTCTGATGCTTCTGGAAATGAAAGATAAACAACAAGAAAACAATATTGGACATTAGAGATAATAAAAATCAAAGGTAACAAGAGAAAAGACAGAAATACAAACATCCAGGTGTGAAACCAACAGTTCAGAGTAAATATAAAGATCATTAATTCATGAGAAGTGATTTTAAAACCCCAAACCCATCCCATCAAAAACCCGTAGTGTTCTTGTCTTCTTGTCCTCCCAGGCTCCACTCCGTGTCCATGTGATAGTCCAGCAGCTGTGTACCGTGGACTGGAGGAATGTGCACGTGCTGGCGTGTGCACGTGGTTGGCCCAGAGCTCACAGGGACGCTCCGTATGGGGTTTTAAGGATAAGTGGCCTCCACGCTGAGCCGACGCAGCGTGAACGCCGAGTCTGAAGAGGAGTGTGTCAGTCAACACTGCTGAGGCTGAGGAGCTGTGCTGGAATGGAGAGGTGTGTGTGTGTGAGTGTGTGTGAGTGTGTGTGTAGTTCTCTGGCTTCTGTTTGTGTGTCCTGTTTACCTACTGTAAATGATGTTGCGTGTGTGTGTGTGTACATACTGTATGATTGTCACAGTGTCAAATCCCACTGCTGTTTGCCAATCCTGTAAATATTGCCCAACACTGTTGGGAGACTCGTCGTCCCACTGTTGGAAACAGGAAGTCAATTATTGACAGTAATGTTTCCTCTCGCCACCTTCTCTGGCCCCGCCCACAGTACGTCAGGGTGTCAAACTCAAATCCACACTGGTCCAAATTAAAAACTGTGACCAAGTTGTGGGCCAAACTTGATATCCATCTCTCCAGATCTGTAATGTAGAGTTTGTTCATATAGAAACAAACTGTAGTTTTGTGTAAACATTGAATCTGGAACAACCAAAGGTTAATATTATAAACACATGACAAATTAAACTGGAAATGAAACACACATCAGTGGTAGTTGTTGCTTATTATGTCTCTTTATCTGTAGCCTAAAATGTATGTGCTATAACATAAATGTTTCTGCTATAACGTAGCACATACACCACTATAATACTACAAATCCTGCCAGTATATACAGCCCATATACTGGTGGGCCAACTGTAGTACACGTTTGATATGATCTCGTGGGCCAAATATAATTACACTGCGGGCCAGATTTGGCCCCCGGGCCTGAGTTTGACACATGTTATATGTGGACACTGATAAAGTGCTGTCCTCTCCTGCTCTACTCTGATTTGTTACTACAGTGATTCACTGCAGAAAGGTAAATCTGTTCTACTCTTCTTCTTCTCTTCCTGATGAGTGGTTTTTTCTCTTCTTTTTGTTTTTCCTGTGTGTCAATACAAACGCTGCTGAACGCACAGATGGCAACTAGACACTCGCATCAATGCCCAGATGCTAGTACATATCCAGAGACAGTCCCCCACCCCTCCTCACACACACACACACTCACACGCACCAGGAATCCCTATACAATTATGGCCAGAATGGGAATCATTCTGAGCGCTGAATAGCTCATTAGCTACATATTGCAAATCGTAGGTTTCAGCAGAAAGCATTGATGAGGAACACTGTGAATGGGCGCTCTGGGGGAGGCCTGCATCATTAAACTGTGTGTTCTTGTAGAACTGTGGAGCCCTGTGCTGTGTGTTGGAGACTGATCATATAGATTTCCATACATGTATTAACAGAATGCAGAAATACAAACTTGTGTTATTGTTATTCCTGCCTCCTGGCTCAGCAGAGCGACCCGGTCATGTTGAAGAACTGTTCTGTCAGACTGGCACCGGCAGCTTCTCGTTACTACTTTCTTAAGCAAACACTGACATTCAGGTGTCCTTGGCTTTACACAGCTAATAGCTCCCTGGAGAGCCTTTTAGCATGAAGATTGCAGAACCTGAAGAGAGAGGCTAAATATATCTTTATTCTCCTGTGTGTTTGACTGTAATAGTGTCTGGAATTCAACCCTCCCTCACCGTTTGGTCCAAACAGAAGGCAGTGAATGTGCAGCGTGTGCAGGATTCAGCTCATTCACCGGCCGAATAATTGAAGTCTCACCGACTCCTCGTCCCCCCCCGGGTGTCCTTCACGTACGGCGTTCGCAGCTTATGTTTGTGCCTGTGTGCGGCGGTCGGCACGTGCAGTGAAGGAAGTTTTGTGGCAGAAAAACTTTCAGCATTTACTGATACGTCACTTCTAAAACTTTAGTCCGTTTCACACGGCTGTTCATGGAGGACTGACTGAAGCAGTGACAGCGGAGAACTGCTTTTTCTAATATGAAAATGTATTTTTATGATGTGAAAAATCCATGATATGCTATAAAAGTGACATGTAAAAGTATTATATGAATATTTAATGTGACACTGTCGTGTTCTTCGTTGTCTTAAAGTCTTGAAACTGGCCTTGTTTTTCCAGACGGTTTGATTCACAAACATCTGTTATCGATGGTGGAACTTTGTGCTAGGGTAAGACGTGGTACAGTTCTGTTGAACTGAGACTGTCAGGTGTCTTTGACACTTCCTGTCTCCTAGTCCTTCCTCCCTGCTGCTGCAGTGTTCAGCACCTGCTCAGTCTCCTCTAGGAGGCAGCGTCAGGCCCTCCTGACTGGTGCCTCTGTGAACCCTGTGTCACAGCAGGTACTAACCAGTCAGGACGGTTCCTCTCTGCTGTCAGTGGAATTCCCTGAGCTTCTTTAAAGAGAAGCTGAACTTTGGTGGTTCGTCTTTGTGATGTTACCTTTAGAGTCTTCTGCTTCTGCACATTGTAGTGTGGCCGGCTGCCACAGCCAGGGTCAAAGCAAAAGAAATGAGAAAAAAATAGAAAAAAAAGTTGACTTTCCCATTCAAAAATTGAAACATTACCTGGATCTCTTTGGCATGTACGGTGGTTAGTCGTCCTTTGTAAACTTTAGGTCAGAGTTTATGTCGAGTGTTGAAAAACGTCGCCCCCCGCTGATGAGATCGGAGATGCATTTCAGGCTAGGCACTGAAATGTCAGAAGTCTGTCTGGTTCCCAGTTACACAGAAGAAGTAGAGACATGGTTTAGAACTGCAGTATCATGAACAGTGTACCACCCCTGGCCCCCGCCCCTCACATTAAAAACAGAATATTATCTTACCCACAATACAGTGAGCCATGTTAACCAGCCCTGGGCACCTTATTTACACCTTTTGTCTGTATAACGTATATAGTATTTTTCATTGAAGTATTTTGTCTAACATTATATACTCACAGAGTAATATTCATTATACGTGTTGGTGCTCCTGGCAGTAAACCCTGATTCTGATACAGGTCTGTTGAATCCCTGCCTTTAATATTTTGCACTCGTCCACTCGTCTGCCACCGTCACTCTGTGCCAAATCACACATGCTGTAAAGCTGTTGGCACCTTGGACATTTGTAGTGATTCTATTTTTTTTTTTTTTTTTTTTTGCAGGGACCTGGAGCAGAGCTGACTCAGTCTGAGGCAAGAACTTCCTTGAAACTAGTCTGAGGTGAAACATCTGCCAGGCCTTTGGAACAACACTGATCCTGGTACATTCTACTGCACAAGTATGTTAAAAAAAACAAAAAAAACAACAGATTTTCCTGTTAATTTTAGGCCATACAGTAACAATGACAGCGATGCAGCTGTTCATGTGCTTCAATTAAACAGTTATTTAAAAATAAAAAAAGTAAAATTTTATAAGTGATATTTGAAAATAACAAACAACTTTTCCTTTAACAACCACAGAAATGGTCTAAATGTTGTACATCATGTGACCTTTGAACTCCTTATCAGAACTTTGGTGAGTCCATAGTGCAGCGGTTAACACTCCTGCCTCTAGAGCAGAGAGTCCTGGGTTTGCTTCCCAGAGGAACCACATATCCCTAGTGGCGCCTCCCTAGTGGCAGCCTGTGTTGGTTACAAACACTCACACTGTAAATATCTCCATTGTGGAGTTATTGAGGGACTCCTTTTATTTTTAGTTTTTGATGACGATGAAAAAACTAAACCAAGTGTGTGGATGTTGAACTGGATCATCATTGGAGAACAGTTTGATTCTGATGAACACAACGCGCTCCAACCCCGTTCCTGTAGTTGCTGGGATAGACTTACGGCGGTGAATGTCCTCCGGGTGTCGTCAGACGGAAAGTATTTTCCTGTAGCGTCTTTGACAACTGCCTTATTGAGCCGAGAGTTGTTTTTCACCGGCTGTTTCTTGTAGTCGAAACATTTTCTCCTGATGCAGAAAAGCTCAGAGTGGATGTCAAGAGCACAGAAGACGCTGAGGGTGGACGTCCTCAGTACTTGTCCTCCAGGTTTCCACAACTTAATGCACGCACACACACACACATGAACACACAAACACACATAAACACACAAACACAAGCGCACAGGCCCTTACAAATAGACAGACGTGAGTGTTCTTGTTCTGGTCTGTGGATCTTCCTAAATTGAACTAATAAAAGTGAAGCTGGCAGTAGAAGTGAGAAGAAGACGTATGGAGAAGGAGATGAGAAACTGGGGCAGCCTGAAGAGTGAGGAGGAGGAGGAGGAGGAGGAGGAGGAAGGGGATGAGACTGGAATGTAGGAACATTATTGACAACCTCTTCCCTTCACTTTTTCTCCCTGCAGCTTCCACACCCACTCTCTGAACAGCAATTACACCTCTCCAAATTATGATCTATACCAGCAGAGTGGACCTGACCGAGGATGGAGATAGATTGAACTGCACCTCTTCCCTTTTCTCGCTCCCTCTGACTCACCCTACGTCTTTCTCCGCCAGCTTCGCCGATGGAGACGGATGGCGTTGGGCCCTTGGCCTCGGCCCCTGCAGATTGATTATTGATCAGGGGGACAGAGATGGATCGAGGGGTGGAGAGGTGGGGGGGGGGGGGAGTGGGGGGGAGGATTTTTGAAGGAATTATGTTTTTAGAGCAGAACAGGCGTGGGTGAGGAGGCTGTGTTCAGATAAAGTTCTCTTCAGGTCACACATCACCTTCAGACCGATCCAGATCAATATCCAAAATCAAAGTGTGTGTTGTTTTTTTTTCTTTCGTCCCCAACATTTCAAAGCTATAACTCATTTTTTGTCAATGTGTATCTGGATTTAAATAGTTGTTAAATCATTCTGGGAGATCAAATGGCATACCTCCAAAAGAAAACTTTTTTTTTTAACAAATGAAGAAGAATCTGTGCTTCAGGAACAGTTTGAATCCAAAGGGTCGCACCGTTCATTCTGCAGATAAAGAATCACCTTAGCTTTCATTTCTCTGAGATAAATATGAGCAGCAAAGTTCCACATCGTCTGCCTGTAACCCTGAAGTTTGGGGTGTGTGTGTGTGTGTGTGTGTGTGTGAGATGCCCTTGTGCTTCCTTTGTGTGTGTGTGTGTGTGTTTGGAGCGTGCTGATGTGTAGGGGAGGTGAAGCTGTCTCTCCTCACCAGACAGATGGCTATCAGCACGGCTCCAGAGAGGGTTCGAGCGCTGCTTTACACCAGAGCCAAGAGGTTAAGCTCCAATCTCCACCGTCTCTCCCTCACTCTCTCTTATTTTTTCCTTCTTGTACTTTTCATAGTGTGTGTGTGTTTCTGGCCTAGCTATGTAGGGACGTTTGTTCTGGAAGAATATTTCCGTGTTCTTGTGGGGACCTGTGTTTGTCATGGTTAAGGTTCAGATAAGGGGCCACAGGAGGAATATTTGAAGTACTCACAAATACAAAATATGTGCGTGTGTGTGTGTGTGATTTAGCCCCTTTGCCCCCTCTGTGTGAATATCAGTGTGTGTGTGATAAAAGAACAGAAGGAGCCTGTTGGCTGGTGTGTGTGTGTGTGTGTGTGTGGGTGTGTGTGTGTGCTGCAGGCTGATAATGGTGGAAGTAAACATGACGCAGCAGCAGCAGCAGCTCAGAGCTGGTACCAGGAGCCGTCACTGATGTCACTTCCTGACTGTGTCGTCTCCTCAAACTCACGACCTTTGAACTTTCATTTTCATCTTCCAGTGATTCCCACGCTGCAGCATCTCACTCCAGCAGAGTCCTCCTCATTATCTTTGTTCTTCCGTTTCCAGGTACATCACATCCATATGTGCTCCGGCCTCAGGCGCTGTAAGAGCAGTGTCTCAGGAGGAGGAGGAGGAGGAGGAGGAGGAGGAGGAGGAGGCTTCTCCACGGGCTGCAGGGAGGAGGCTGATTGGCTGCAGGTAAAGGTTTCCCTCGAGGGTTTTTTTTTCTTTTTTTTTTCTTTTAGCCACTTTCAGTCTGGAGACAATCTGTTAAACTAGGAACTACCTGTGTGTGTGTGTGTGTGTGTGTGTGTGTGTGTTTCAACTGTTTGAGAGACGTTACATGTACTGCGTGTCATAAACAAATGCAGGTTTTTTAGAGTAAGAAACAATAAGATTAGCATTAGCATTGAAGCTACCAACGATCCATTTACTCCATCAATGTATATTAGTATATGTTTTTATTCAAAAAAGTATACTTTATAAATAGAGCTTTCAAACTATTTATTCCAAGCTGATTCACAGAGTAGATGTGAGTCATCACAGTTAATCATAACTAATATATATATATATACACAGTCTGAGAACCACGTGCTGCCCCACCAACTTTCTGATTTTACTGAAGTGTGTAACACATACTGACGTGAAGCAAGTTAACGACGTTAAAAATGCTGCTTTCAGCCACATTAAACACACACACACACACACACATCTCCAGGACTGGGCTGCGTGGCAGTGGGGTTAATGAAGTTTCCCTCTGCTACGCCATCCAGCAGAATTATCTGGTGGAGCAGGAGATGGCGGGCTCTCACTCTGAGAGTGTCAACAAAGAGTGGGAGAGTTCTCCATTAACCATGAGACACCGGCTGATGGTGTTTACATGTGTTATGCCCTGCTGTCTCATCTGTATTTTGGGGGGAGTCGGGGGGGATTAAATTGGCCTGGCCACAAGCAAACTAGTGGAGAAAATTAGGAGGAACGCGTGTGTGTTCACATTCATTACAGAAATTCTACTCACATTCATGACTTTGGCAAATATGGTCAGAAAAGCAGGGAAAAAACATTTAACCTCTGAAAGAACGGATGGATTCACTGGAAATATATGTTCACTGTACTTCACAGTAGAACTGTGAAGTATTCTGGAGGCCACCAGTGTGTTCAGCTCTCTCTCTCTCTCTCTCTCACACACACACACACACACACAGAGGTGTGTCAGCTAACTGTTGGTTTTATCTGTTCTTGGTTGTTTCCATTGTAATGGAAATAAGCTGCGGTTGTTTTCACTCGGTCACATATTTACAACCAAATCAAACGTAAAAGTGTGGAGAGACGCTCGGGGAAGTCGGATGTATATGTGCATATGTGGACGTATAATGGCCTGGAGTGGAGCGCATTAGAATAACAAGGGGTTCCTGCCGCTCCTACAGCCTCGTGTGTGTGTGTGTGTGTGTGTGTGTGTGTGTTTCTGTGCTGCAGGAAACTGTTTCCAACCTACAGCAGCACTGTGTGTGTTATAATGTCTTACTGTTAGAGCTGCTTCTGTGAAAAGGAGGAACCAGATCTGAATATTCAGGATAGAAAAACAATATCTGTCTATATATATATATGTACATATATACGTACATATAAAACATTTAATAAATCAAATATAAACACAAAACTAATTTAATTACAAGCATTATATATATGTACATATCTATGTACACACACATATATATTATATATATAAATATATATAATCCATGTAATAAAATTTGTTTTTTGTTTATATTTGACTTATTAAATGTTATATATGTACGTATAACTACACACACACATATATTATATAAATATATGTATAATCCACGTAATGGAATGTTTTTGTTTATATTTGATTTATTAAATGTTGTTATGTGCAGAACTTGGAGTAATAACAATAAGGTACATTTAATGATAGCTCTTACTTTTTATGACAGCACCATGGTTTATTTCTATACACAGCCTTAATGGAGTTCACATTTTAATGGAGGACGTTTACTTCACACTCCGTGAGCAGCTCCGGTACATTGATCTGATGTACGGGCCAACAAAGACGACGATGGTGACAGGAAGTAGATGGAGAGAGTTAACGTCCTCTGTGAGGTGCCAACCTGAGTGTTTGTTGGACCTGTAGTAGAATGGACCTTAAATAGCTGGAGGAAAACACCACACACTCACACACACATATGCATGTTAAAAAATTCACTAAAAATGAAGGAGAAACTGACTATAAAAATACAGTCATTTATCATGATAAAATGATGTAACTCAAAGACACACCCAGTCAAAGGTCAAAGGTCGGTCTGCAGTTATGTGGCCACACCCACTACATATAACATTTATGAGGAATGTTCTGGAAGAGGAAGACTCTTCCAAGAGGAAGGCTCACCTTCATGGTTTTGTCTTCTT